CACATATGCAATAAGACGGCTCTAACTTTTTCGTTGAATACGTTGAATGGACCAACGAACACCCTACCCTAGTCTTTTATGTGGGATGGTGCTAATTACCCATTCACACTGGGTGAGTCCCTTTCCAATTCGTCCATAAAATCTAGGATTGAAAGGCCAGTCGAAGCGAACATCAAAAGAATCCGAAGTGGTTTCTTGGATAAAATCCGAAGAAAACCTGAACAGTCAGATAACTAGAGAATCACTGCGAAGAAGCTGCTGAAGAAACCAGTATGAGTGGTTCAATCCTTGTTTGATAGCCGAAAGTTTGGACCTAACGGGCGCGCAATTCTGCTCCAGTCCAATTTTTCTGCGCCAGAATTACGATGGGGGTGGAGTGTTTACCTCCGGATTTCACAATTTTTTTTTCTCATTTTTCTTGGACAGAGCTTATCACTCGTGTGTCCACTAGTGACGGGCTTCTTTCGCTGTTCTATCGGGAGTTTTGTCGTGAGAAATCAATGTTTATTCTTCCTCTGAGTGTTATCATTTGTGCACCGATAAATCGGGACAAAAAGGATCCACAGGGAAAGGGCAGGAAACGGGAGGGGAGGGGAAGGTATTTTTCTTCAAATTTGATCGTACTGCTAAAATAGATCGAAGCGCAACGTGGGTTCTATTCTCGGAGCATGAGCGCTTATCCATGCCTAGGCGACAAATCGATAAAACGACAAGCAATCGATATCCAGCTGATATGAGGATGTAAATAAGGGAGCAACATACGTTAGATGAGAGATGACGCCTGCCATTTAGTTTCGTGGAACCAGAGTCCCGGAACAGAAAACATTTCTGGAAACTCCTCCATTGCCAACGGGGCACGTCGTATGCTGGGAAATCCCCAGAAGGGATGGGAGGTGGTATTTCGCGTGAGAAATAGTTGGTACTTCCTTGTTACGCGTACCATCCACAACTTTGGGAAGTTCCCATTGCAGGGGGATAGTACCGTTCAGAAATTTCCTTCACCGCCAGGGGATGCCCTGCTTGCCGATGTGACGACAGGTTTTTACCCACATTATTGCCCACATAATGTTGAGCAGACAAACGAATTGTAGTGGGGAAAATGACTCTAATCATTTCCCCGACCTGCTTGATACGCTGCGCGTCTGCCACGCACCTCTGCGTCTCATTCTCACATAAATGGCATTCGGAGAATGGATATTAATTATGACGGTGTTTTTGCGTCATCTTCATTGCCAATAACGTTATGGCTTGCAAAACAAGTGACGCCCAAAAAGAATGATAATTTTGGATTGCATTGCGTTCGGCATCCATTCGGAATCCCCTGGAGCGCGTCATACGTTGGGGATCCCCAGCGAGGGGATCGTATTTGGTTGCTGGAGGGAAAGGGGCATAATCGCTTGAGAAGAATTTTTCGGTTGTTGACTTTTCCGGACTTTCAGAGCGCAATGTACCCTCTCTCCCCTCCCCAGACCTTCCCGCTTTTTCGGGGAGAGGGTGGAGGAATTTTCGAAAGAATCTCTGGAGAAAATACGGAAAATTAGGGAAACTGCGAGAGTTCAGGAAGAGGGTAGACAGGTTGGAGGATGGGGAGGGGGGAAGGTCGTGCCAAAGAAGGAAATTTTGAAGTGGGGGGGGGTCGTAGTCTCCGAAATTCTCCCCACGGTAGGACGCGCTCTGCTTGAAATGTAGGAAGAATAAGAGTTCTGCTCATTGTGGGTTTAGTAAATGTATCAGTCGGGATCGGGGGTCACATCTGCCTTGCTGCGGGTGGTCCGCAAAAAAGAAGAAGGTTATGAAAATTTCAATGTTTAGAAAGATCTGATGTCCCCTCGGTTTCCTCCACTCGCCGAATTTTTGTTGGGAACCGGAAGGAAAGACTTTAGGTGGAAATGTTCGGATTGAAGAAGGTAGTATTTGAGATGGCGATGGAGGCAGTGCACGTCTTGGCGTAGGAGGGGGAAGTGGGAAGCTCGCTACACACGACTCCCTCCCAAATCGTCTCTTTCGATATTTTTGCAACTTACATAACCTCTCGCCGAATTTTCTCAAAATTTTGCCACCGGGTGGCCTGGGCGGGGTAGACACCTCCGATCAACTATGAGGAGTACTGGTTTAGGCTACGGACAACTTGAGCTCAGCCCTTTCAATCGCGTCGATTTTCTGTTTTTCTCCTCACTCCATGACCACTGTGACCTCCAGTTTCAAACACATTTCACGCATGACAAGTGGCTCACCCACCCCGGAGTCCCCCCCTCTTTGGAAATTTTCCCTGCTCCGTCGCATGTTTTTTTGCACTTTTCGATACTTTGGCAGCTGCTGACCTGCACCTGTTTGCGGTAGTGTTTCGCAACAAGGCCGACACAGAGTGCAAGTCATGCTGAACGACCACTTTTCCTTATCGCCACTATATTCTCTGATGGTGAGGTAGTTCCTCTGGTCTGAAAGCCATTTGTGCCGTTGCTGTATCTTAATCGACTAGTGTCTCAGTTCTCAGTTGGAAGGGGAAAATTAATATTTCATATTTTCTCTCTGGCTCCTCTTCTTTCGAAATTGCAGAAATTTCCAATTTTCAGTTCTCACCAGCGCTTTTGTGGAGTGCCGTTGACAGAATTTTTATCCCTTCCGCTGGCGAAAAAGTGTCTAAAAAATTTAAAAAATTCCGTTCGGAAGTTGACGTTGGAGTATGTAGCTCTGCTTGGACCAAAAGTAAAACTCTCGCAGTCTCTTTTTACGATAGCGCGTTCTGATATGGGAAAGGAGTTGATCGATTGTTGCCCTGCTTAGAATTGACATCTTCGTCTTGAGTGCATAGTTTACTTATAACGAGCCTAAGCTGGTTCTTCGATTTGTTTCTTTTTTCTCCTACAGATTCATTATTGGATTTTATTTATCATTCCTGGAGACAGATTTGAAAGAACGGTAAATTTATATTGACTAGAAAGAGCTGAGCTTACTCATATTTCCTATAGCCTTGTTCGCTGCGGATGATGGGGCGTGTCGGTGAGACCGAGTTTGGCGCGCCCCCAGCCAGTGGATGGGGTGCACATGCATATAGTGCATGTGAAACAGGAAAAAAACCACGAAAAGTTAGCAACCTCTCCCAGAAATTCGGGAGGGAAATACGACCTCCCTCCCAACAATGAGCAAATACGACCCCCCCCCTTCAAAACGTCCCTGAAACAAGAAAATTTAACTATCAAAAAATTTTTTCTCAGCACAAATACGGTCAGCCCTCTCCCAGCGACCAAATTCGATCCACCCACTTCCAGCGACCAGATACGACTCGCCCTATTGAGGAATTCCAATCACGATGTGCCCTGGTTCTGACTCGGCTCCATTGATGCGATGTTAGAAACGGTAAGAATACGTACTGAGAGCAACATTTCGGAAGAAATTCAGTGGTACCATTCTACTTCTTCCCCCACTTCCCCCGCCTCACGCCTCTCACCAACAGCTAGGTCTGAGACAGAGTGAAGATGCTTCGCGATTGTTTACCAGTTTGTGTCGGGATTACTTCGAAGCCTTTGTCAGTTTCTGCTGGTTTTTCTCCACCTTTCTGTCACCACACATAGAGTATTTTGAGATTTTCTATGCTCTAGTTGTGCTATGTGCAAGCCTCGCCCACTTTGCACCTATTCCGCCTAGCAGAGGCCGTGTATCCTGCTGCATCGTGGAGATATAACGGACACTATTCACTCATTCCGGTCTCTTTTTTCGGAACTACCGTTCATTTACCTCAAGCTGTCCATCATCGTAAGGCAGACTTCGCGACTGCACATCGCAGGCTATGGGTTCAAAGCAAAATGTATGCGCTGGTGAAGAAGGGAACGGAAAACCCATCTCTAATGAGACTTCCCTCTTGCAGAGTTGATTATGGTCACTGAACGAGCATAAAATGTTGGAGATCGAATGGGTACGCGGGAGCGACGGTACCCTGAAAAGCGCGGGGAGAGATCAAAAAAGATACAGCATGGTCCGGACGGGCCTATAGTGTGCCCATAGGTCTTACACTCAAGCGTGTGGTGCGTTTCCAGCGATCTTTCGAACCTTGAATGTGGTATAGTCGATTTCGCTGCAGACGGTGGGGCGTACCAGGATGGGGGGGGGGACTGGATTCAGCGGGTGGAGAATAGATTAGTGCCGCGCCAAACTGAAGGCTCCCTTTGACAAGCCCTAGCGAGAACAACTGTACATCTCTGCTATACCAGGCCTTGTCCCCTTGGCCACATGTAAGGGGCTCTGTCGTCCTGTGCTCCCGTTGATCATCGAGTTCCTCGAGCGGGCGCCAGTAACGTCTCCATTCGTCCCTGCAACGTGCAAGAGTTGCCCAATGAACTCGAGGACACGATGAACTTCATACCATTCGTTCAGAGCTTTCACGAAGAAGTCTGACCATCGCATAGGCGGTCGTCCAGGCGTTCGCTTGACATCCCGTGGAATCCAGTCGGTGATCGCTCTGGTCCAGCGGTCGTCCTCGAAACGCATGACGTGCCGGCCCACCTGATCTTCGAAACCTTGGCAAATGCGGCGGCGTCTCTGATCTTCGATCGTCGGCGGAGTGCGGAGCTCCGGATTCCCTCTCTCACTTGTGTAGCGGGAAACTCCGAGCATCGCCCTTTCGATGGCGCGTTGAATAACGCCGACCGCATGCTCTGCTTTCGTAGAGTCCAAGTCTCTGAGGCGTACGTCAAGGCAGGAAGGACCGCGGAATCGAAGAGGTGGGCACGGAGCTTGGTGTTCTTCGTCTTCTTCGCTACTCCCTCGATGTTCTTGAAGGCTCCCCAAGCCGCTCGCTTCCTCCTGCTCAGCTCTGGAGCTAGGTCATTCATCATATTGACCTAGGTACACATAGCTAGAGCATTCAGAGATGGTCGTTCCGTTGAGCGTGAATGGGGCATCAGAAACCAATCCGTTTCTCATGAACATCGTCTTCGTTAGATTCAGCCGTAGACCGATTTTCCACACGCGCAGTCGAATTCAGCCAGCATTCGTTCCGCTTGCTCGATGTTTGGTGTTATCAAAACGATGTCGTCAGCAAAGCGGAGATGGTGTAGTTGCCGACCGTCGATCTTCACTCCCATGTCTTCCCATTCCAGTTGACGCATGACGTTCTCGAGAGAGGCGCTGAAGAGCTTGGGCGAGATGGTGTCGCCCTGTCGGACCCCTCTCTTCACATCGATGATGATCTCCTTGTAGAATGGTGAGATCTTGGTCGTGAAGTTGCTGTAGAGCTCACGAAGAATCCTGATCCTGATGTACTGAGTAGGAATACCCTGGTTGCCCAGGGCTTCGATAACCGCTTCTGTCTCAACGGAGTCGAAGGCTTTCTTCAAGTCGATGAACGTGAGACATAGCGGCATCTTGTACTCTCGCGATACTTCGATGAGCTTCGTTACCGTGTGGATGTGATCGATCGTGCTGAATCCTCTTCGAAACCCTGCTTGCTCGCATGGCTGTCCTTCGTCTAGTGTTCTGCCAATCCTGTTCAGGATGACTCGTGTGAAAAGTTTGTAGACTACAGACAGCGTAAGGGGCTCTAGCATTAGTTTATCTGTTTTGTTGTGTTGACTGGTTTTCGTGGGGCTGGTCACGCTCACACGCATATCAAAATATGGGAAATGGCGTACTAGAAGTTGCGCAGGCAGTATGAACAACAAACTCTTCCGCTGTGCCATACATGTCGTAAGTTGGCTCTCGTGGGTATTAGGCAGCTCTTCTTGGACATTCACTGAAATTTATTGACGATTTATTTGAAATTGCGTGGTAATGTTCACTAAATAGGCTTGAACGGGGCGGATGTAATTTAGTGATAAACGGCGCCAGTCGCCATACAATATTTAAAGGGGGATCTAATCTTGACTCGAATCCCGCCAATGTGAATCTCACATTCCACTTGATCCGGTGTTGGTGGCTTGATGCGAGAGGGAAGGAGAAAAGCGCTGACTTTCACATTAAAGGCAGTTGGCACGATGATTTGGTGCTCGGCCTAAAATGCTAGTAGGGCGCTATATAGTGGGGAAATGGCGAAAGAACGGAGTGAAACGGTCAAAGTC